GGGGGCGGGGGCCCCCCGCCTGCGGGGAGAGGCCTTGGGGGCTCGTTGAGGCTCCGTCACCGGGACTGACGTGGTCGGCCCTTCCCGACGGTGCCCGGTGTTGGCGCGTCCCCGCCTCGGGCCTGGAGAGCGGGGTCTGTGGAGTCACGGAGGGGAAGTGACCGCAGCGCCGCGGCCTTCGGGTCCCGCAGTGCGTGGCCTGGGGACTCCTGGTGCTCCCTGGACATACGTGTGGGTACGAAGGTGCTGTGCTGGGCGGCAGGCAGCGAACCTGCAGGGGCAGGCAGGGTCAGGAAGCGGAACATAGGGACGGTGAGAAAGCTAATCCAACCGATTGGCAGGTAAGGGGTGTGTGAAGGGGTGCTGAGGTGAGGGGGCAGCAGTTCAACACCAGCAACCCGGCAGGGGCAGCTGCTGGGAGGGTATGAGAGGATGGTGTCAGAGTGGCTGCCCTGGAGCAGCATCTGCTGTTTCTACTGTTTGAGATAAAATAGTGGGTAAAGGAGATTATCAATCTGACGTGTTTCTTGATGTGCTCCAAAAGAAGCAGGTGTTTTATTTGTTTCAGGCTGTACGTGAGGATTTATGCCTACTTGTAAAGAAATGTTTGAACTGCTGGCACAAAGCAATTCATTCAGAATAGTAGGTGAGTTGAATTAAGTAGCATTGCAGGGGGTGTTAAGGAGCTAATTAGTCTTTAGGTAAGTCTGAAAGTGTTGGAAGCAAAGGTTTTTAAAAACAAGCAATTTTGTGCATTGCTAGGAAGATTTTATGCTGTGTTAAAATAGACAAAAGTTGATTTATGATGTTGATAAGTGTCAGCTTTCTAAAAGTAATAAGTAGTTATTTACAGGAAAGACCAAGCATAATCTGGAGCAGTAAGAGCAGTAACAAGCCTGTATGGCAGGTTTTTGTTGAATCTTTTGTGAGTTTGAGCTTTGCTCAGGAGAAAAACAGGATAACTTTATATATTCTGCAATATAGCATTCTAATTTTAGTATCTAATTCTGTCATCTTAATGTTTTTGTTATTTACTGCACCATTAATTTACATCTGACACGCTTTGCTTAAATATGTTTGCGTTATTTTGAACACTGGAATGTTTTCCAGAGATCATGAAAACAAAGCTTCGAGCTTGCCACAGGATCACTATCTTGATTCATCTTGGAGAGCAGACAACAGTCTTGTAAGTGTTTTTTAAAAGAATAGCAAGTTTATCAGAACTTCTGTTTTGCCCCTGTCCTTCCTTTCATGTACATCCTTTTTTAGGTTTTTAAGTAATGATTTTTGCTTACCTTTAGAAGCTATTTTATATTGATACTTGATACTCAAGTAACAGGATGAGTCTCTGTTCTAGTGCTCAGGGTGAACCAACACAGAGAAGAGAATTGCTTTTTATTAGTGTGTCCCCCCTCACCTCCTGGGGAAGAACGAAGAGAGACTTCAAGGTTGAAAATGGGAACTATAACAGATTTAATGGAACAGGGAAGGGCCCAGGGGAAGATAAAAAGGGGAATAAGGAAGAGAGACTTTGAGTTTGGAAATTAGAACTAGAACAGGTTTAATGGGAAGGGATAGTAACAAGTAGAAAAATAATGAAAAATACACAAATATATCTATATATACCCACACAACCCCTGATGTTAGTAGTAGCTGATATTAGTCTGAAGGTCCCTTGTGGCAGAGCCAACATGGGAAGAAGAGCCAGGACTCTCCTCAGCAATGGATAGAGTCAGATTCTACAGAGCATGTGGTCAGCTGAAGACAGAGAGCCAGGAACCTCCTTCCAGGATGCCCACTAAGAAGGAGACAGGAGCCAAGGCCCAACTTTCCCACCCTTCTGGCATTTTACAGGATATGGGAGAAAACAGGATGGAATACTGAGTTTATCCAGCCCTTCTCAGTTCTGACCCCTGGGCCTCTTCAGGGTTCTAAGTAACATCATCTCTTTCTCTTGGGCTTGGCCATCAGAAGTCGTCGCATCAAAAATTATTGTCTGTCCCCTCAAACCATAACAAAATAATAAAACATATTTGTTTTGTTTGCAGCCATGGACGTTGGACAGCAGCATTAGTGAAGAAAACAGGTCTGTCATTGAGAAAATGTTGCTGGAAGAAGAGTATCCTTTTACTGATTGCTTGTGTTATTTCTTGTATAACAATAGAAAACTTCCTGTATCCAAAGGAACTGGACACATCTTTTCTTGTTAAGGTGACTGGGGCATTGTCATCTTGCAGATAAAGCAGAAAGCAGGAAGGACCCCTGAATTAATTATCTATCTGCCTGCAGCTTCCTCTGTTGCTTCTGTTACTTCAGAAAATTACTCTAAAGCTTGTTGGATTTGAGCTGGCACTGGCACCAAGGACAGCAATATTTGTCCACACTTCAGCTGCTTGTTCAGTGCCACTTCCAGCACTGGGCTCATGCAGCCGTTTGTGTGGCTTCTTAGTGAACCTGATCAAGCAGCTGATCTGGCTAAAAATAACTAGTTCTTGTTGCTGAATTGTTCTTCACTTGGACTGGTTTACTATCTGATTTTGTTTGGCTGCCTTCATACTTCCGCCAGAAGAAGGAAGAGCTATTTTTTTAATATTTTTTTTTCCATTATTATTTTTGGTTTTTTTAAGCATTTCTGGCATTAGTTGACCTTACAGACTAGGTAGGTTATATCCATAGTAATCACTGGCTAGTTTATTTTCATGTTCTTTTTGTGTGGTAATATTCAGTAATAGAGGAACAAGAAAGTAAAGCAATTGAAGTTTTCATAATAGAATGAAGTATTGAGGCTTAAATTGAAAATGGGTAAGGTATCAATACAATGAAAATTACTCTAGTGTGGTTTCTAACTAAAATGTTGCAGAACGAGGATAGCTGGATTGTTGAAAGTAATGTGAGCATAGGGGTTCAGATGTCACTTCCATTAAACTAGTAGGAGTATGTGAAAATGTGTAATTCATTTTTGAAAGCAGTGCCGGTCTTGTTTCTATGGCTGAGTTACGAACCAGTACAATTCATATGATTATTACTGCTATCACACTTAAAAATATCTCTGATGCTTTGAAAACTTACTAAGTAACTACTTCAGATATTACTTATCTAATAAATCATTTTCTGAAAAAATATGGCCCAACCAAAAGGAAGTGAAGAAAAGACCTATGAAAAGGTGAGCTGTGTTCTGGGAAAAATTCTGTTAGATGAGAAGAAAGGAAACTTCCTTTTCATCTAACAGATGAAGGTTATTTGCTGAGACATGGAGCAGTATCACAATTGTTAATTTTTATTTTCACTTTGTTTTATATTTGCAGCCCACATAAGAAAACTGCAAGAGTTGTGTATGTACATTTTAATTACTGAGTTGCACTTTTAAATGTGGCATTAAGCTACTTTTAAGAGACTTTTCAATTCAAGGAAATATTGTTATGTGTAATAATAGGCCTGTAGTAAACTACTTTGTTTTTTGTAGCAGAGTGGTCCTTATGAAAAAATCCTGTGTTAACTGGAGTTGGCTTTCTTGCCTGAGCTTTTCTGCTTGCTGTATTTCTCTACCTGTAGTTACTGGTGAATGTTGTGTTACCTCCAGTCTACCTTTGTGACATGATTCCTATTCTTTTATTTATCACCCATATTCATATTTAAAACAATACCTTGAGCTTTATAGAAGATGGGGAGTAGTCATACTGTCAAAAGTTGCCTTCAGTTACTGGGATTTGAAAATACGTATTTTTCAGAAAGCACTAACTTCTGTTTCTTGTTTTCCTAGGGTGCGATCACCTTCAAAATCAGCCAGCTGCTCATTAAAGTGGACATCAGAAGAAAAAGAACTGTTTGAACAAGGGCTGGTAAGTTTTTGTGTATGTAATATTCTGAGTAGAAGTCATTAGTTTATCCTATGCAAAAATTATTAATATAAATAAGCATTTTATATTTATCTGCTTCTACGCTTCTAATGTGTTAAAAATAATTGCCCTCTACTGGGAGTGTAATGATGAATCAGCTTTATATTGATGAGTCCCCCAAGATGGCTTTGTTTACCAGATTTTGTTCATGTGAAGCTGATTACAACCTGAGATCAATAAAAGTCACATACACAGCTTTGTAAATTGTACAATCATAATGCTGTAGTGAACTACAGGAAACAGTGTGTGCTTAAGGCAAATCAGCTAATAAACTGAAATGCTTCAGCTGGTCTTGTAAGGCCTTTAGAGATTATATGATTGTAGAGTGCTGAATGTAACAACAGGGTTTGCTTCACAAGTGTAAATTCATTCCATAAATTCATTCCTTGGGTTAGTAGGCAGCAGTGTGCCTGAACTGGGTGAAGATGCTCTACAACCAGCAATAACTTACTGTTGGATGCAATTTTTTTTTTGGTAGAATATGAGTAGAAAGGCTCTTTACAATGAATTTGCTTGACTGTTTGTGGATTTGTAAATAAAGAATGGAGTTTTAAAACTATTTTGGCTCATGGAGTGCCTTCTCTGGAATGTCAGATGTTGGGTAACTTTGTAACATGTTGTACCAGGTGAAATTTGGACGCAGGTGGACGAAAATTGCCAAGCTGATTGGAAGTCGTACTGTGCTCCAAGTGAAGAGCTATGCCCGGCAGCATCTTAAGAACAAGGTAAACAGAGTCTCTCTGCAGTTAGCAAAAAGGCTGTTTGACAAGTAAACTGTTGTATGTGTAATTGATTTTAGTATTTTTAAAGTACTGCTGTTGAAGTAGTACTTTAGTCCCATACTCAGAAAAGTGGAATATGCTTTTTTGTAGATTTGAATATGAAGCCAACCCTGATTTCAAATTCCTAGAATGACTTTGGTATTTTTATTGCTGGTGTAACTAAACAATAGGTGTAATGTAATTGTAGTCTCTTATACTGTTGGTCATTAGTCTGAAGACACTTGTTTTTCACTCTACAGCTGTTTCAGCTGTGTATTGTGGTTTTAGCATTAGCCTTATTTGAGATTTCAGGGACATCTAAGAAGAAATAACTGGTCTGTTCAGGCTTGTTTTTTTAACAGAAATAGATGTTAATTTATGCTTGGGCTAGAAGTATACCTGTAAGATTAAAATGTATTAAGAGGGTCAAATGAGGAAGAAGCAGTTCAGCATGTCTGCTGTTCAAGTAATTTAGTTCTGACTGTTTGGGTGACAGAGGAGATTGTTTTGGTTTCCCCTCCTAAGAGTATTTTAAATTTTCCTCAGGCAAAAAATGATGATTCTGAAAAAGAAGAGCCAAGTGAGTTTGGCAGCAATGGGATAAGGGTAGAAGAATGGTCATCTAGAAACTCGAGAAGCTGTGCAAACCCCCATCTGAACGCAGTGAAAATCGAAAAGCTGTCAGATGATGAAGAAATAGACATAACTGATGACATGGATGAACTACTTTCTCCTACCTGCCAGCAAGAAACTGGAAAATCTGAATTTTCTGTTATTTCAAAAAGTCCAGTTGAAGAAATGAAAGGAATGAAACAACAGTGCTCATTTTTTGGACACAGTTCTGCAATTTCTTTACCCAAAGAAGACCCTCAACAGACCAAGCAAGATACAGTGGATGCATTGGTATTTCCACGTGTTGCAGCAACATGTTCTCAGCACCTGAGCAGTGATAAATCTGTGAACTTAGATTACCAGCAATACGATAATTTTATTGAGAAAGCTGAACAAGGCAGACTGGTAACATCTTGTGGGACTAGACAAGTAACTGATCAGGAGCTTAAGGAGGAACAGAGAGACTTGGGTGATAATGGATTGCTTTTTCCTTCTTGCCAAGCAGACGAAGATCGTCAAGAAGAAGCAGAGGAGCTTAAGCCACCTGACCAAGAAGTGGAGGTTGACAGAAGCATCGTTCTGGAAGAAGAGAAGCAAGCTTTTCCTGAATTTTTTGAAGGGCGCCAGGCCAAAACACCAGAGCGTTATTTGAAAATCAGGAATCATATTTTGAATCAATGGTAAGATTAATTGCATTTACTGAAATAAGTGATTAAGGTGACTCATGTCCTGCTTTGTTGTAGTTAAGCCAGTACTAATTACCAATAGCTTTCTTCTAAAAAGAGTACAGTTTATTTTATGGTAGCATTATAAAGATTGCCAGTGAACAGCACTGATTGTTAATGCTCTTTTTACATTCTCCCAGTCTTTTTTTCTGGCATTCTGGGAGCTAAGCTGTACAAATACTTGGAAGCATTATGAAAATTACTGTCTGCTGTATCAGACCAAGCTGCAGCCATTGTGGTTATGCTGTTTTCTTCCAGTTTTTGTTATCCTGGATGTAAGAATGCATATGCATTCACAGAATGTTTCACAGAATCTATGATTCTGTGAAGAATGCGTATATGGTTTTAATACATGGTTCCTTAAAATAACTGATTAAATTAGTTCTGCCATGGGGTTTGTAGCATAGTAGTACTGCTGGTACAGAAGGACTGCTAGAAGAGATGGTCTGTGCTAGGGCAATTAAAGTTGACCAAAATATTAAGAATTAATTTGGAGTAGTGCTTGTAGGCTTGAATATTTTATATTCCATCTCCAAATAATCAGCCTAAGGAACCTCAGTGATTTGTGGTATCAGGCCCAAAATACAGTTTGTTCTGTTACCTGCTGTGTTGGTTAGCTTGCTTTGAAGCAGAGAGAACTGCTGAGCTGAACTCTATGCTGAGTCAGTTGTCTTGTGTATTGACAGCTTGTTCTAGTTGCAAAGAAACTGTGCCAGCCCATACCAGAGAAGTGCTGCAGTTGAAATGGTTCAGTATCAGTTTAAAAACAAGTAATAAGTGCACAGAGAGTGAAAACAGACTTATTTATTAAACCCAGGAAGCCTGAGATTATATGAGCTGTTTAGACTAATCTAATGCAAACATTCTCATACCAGTTTAACAGTATTGTAGTACTTCTAAGTAATGCATTGCTTCCTGTCACCAGTTGTTTTGGACAGTTTAACTCTTGGAACCAGAGTTTCTCTCTGCAAAAGTATGAATGTGTATGAATATCCCTGAAGTGCCCTGGGTGTGCTCTGTGTAGTTGGTACCTCTGCTGTGCCTGCCCTGCCTGGTGGTGTGTAATGTGTGCAAAAAAAAACACTTCAGTGGCTGGTCTTTACGTCCACTGAAGCAACTCAGTGCCTTCCTCTCCCCATTATTTGTTTTACTGTTTGACAATATATTTTACTTTATTTTACTTTAGGGAGAGATGTAAACCCAAATATCTGAATAAGACTTCAGTGCGTCCAGGCCTTAAGAACTGTGGTGATGTTAACTGCATTGGACGGATCCACACATACTTGGAATTAATAGGAGCAATTAACTTTGGCTGTGGTAAAGTTATTTTTATTGGAACCTGTTCAGAACTTAAATTCTAATCAGCTCTTGCAAACACATCCATTGTTCACTGTCAGCTTTTTTGTTACAATGAATATTTTCATGTGAAGAGTAAACATTAGGGTTAGTAGATGTGTTTTTAAAAGAAAAGTTGTAAGTTCACTTCATTGAAGTGTGGATGACTGCACTTAAGTAGAATCAGTCATCCATGTGGATAATCTTCCAACTTCTCTGTATTCTTAATGTCTTCAGCTGTAATTGTTACATTTAGGTAATTCTGTAGAAGAGAATCTTTCTTTGGGCTGTATTTAGTGCAGTTGTGTTCCAACCTCTATGGCCGTGACCTATTTTGGGATTGATGTTGAAGGACTGCCTAGTGCTAGGGTGTGCTGCTCACACCGTATACATGTTCGTCCTTACTAGGAAGTGCCTTCTGAGCAGATTGTCTCTCATGACCTTTGAAAATCTAGAGGAGTTTGTACCCTGCTTACAGATTTATGGATTTTGTGTTTGACACAAGATGTTTTCGGTTTTTTTTCTTCTTTGTTACCACCCCCCTCATGTTTACCACACACCAGCTGGTGGAGTCTTGTGTTTTGGAGTTTTTTTGTGCTTTTTTATGTGTCTAGTGTTGGATTTTTTTCCTGATACCTGCTGTATATGAAATTCTGTCCTCCCTCTGTGCAAAACAGAATTCAAGTTAGTTTCTTTTCCCATACTGAGTAATAAGTGTTTATAACTATTTCCTAAATAAAAAAATGTTTTCATCCTCTGGGCTAGTTTTCACGAGATTCAAATGTTAAAATTAGATGACGTGTTAAAAGTGTGTATACATTTCTGAGTTACCCTCTGGATTGATTTTGGTCTAAAGCTGAACGACAGCCACCTTGGAGGGGAGGAATGGCCTGCAAGCGTGTTTTGTCTGAAACAAATGAACAATAAGGAAGGAAGTTTCCCTGTCTCCAAAATGCAGTGCCAATGGGAGAGGTCTATATAATCTGTTAGTAATGTGGCCAAGAAATCACAAAATGTCTTTTCACTCTGGGGTTTTTTATGGCTTTGTTGTTACCACTTAGCTATGTCATTCTTGAAATCAGTGGCTTCACACCTTCCTGAAGTGCAGTGTCTCTTTCTCTGTATCCTGTAGAACAGGCTGTCTATAACCGACCCCAACCAGCTGATAAAACACGGTCCAGAGAAGGCAAGGACACAGCAGAAGCCTACCAGCTGGCTCAGCGCTTGCAGTCCATGGTATGTGTTGGTGGAGGCAGCAAAATACACTCAAGGTGGAGGAGGTCTTCTCAGTCATCGCTACTAAGCCAAGACATCTCAGGAACTTTCTCCTCTTGTTCCGTTTGCAGTTTCATTAGAATGCCCTATAATTCCAGAGTCAGGCTAAGTGCAGGTTCTGCCATCTGACAGGTGTCTGCCTTGACTTCTTCTGTCTTACACATTCGATTTCTGTACAAGTACTTCACTACAACTGTGTTTCAGGCGATTCCCTTCCTCCCCACATCCATCATTTATTTTCTTCTATTAGCCAGAAAATAGAGTGTATTGGTGGTGTGTGATTAAGTTGCTTGCATTTTAACTGTTAAGTGTTCTAGGTACAAGATGTGACTTATTGAGAGCCTTTTACACACAATTAGCAGTAACTCATTTATAACTACATGAATTACCAAGGCTTGCCAGATTTAATTTTCATATTCACCTTTCACATATCATTTTTTAAGTGCTCCATAGTGAAATAAGTCAGTTGATGAGAGGACAGCTCCTTCAAAAATATATATATAAATTGAAATATAAAGAACTGTAGCATACACTGGATGTAAACATACTGGGTTTATAGCTTCTTGTGTTGCCCGAGTTATAATTCAGAGCTGGATAATAATGCAGTGTTGCTGTCAGAGGTGCTGATGCTTCATGGAGTTTTAATCAGGTGTTACGTTTTGCAGCCTTAAAAACTGAAGACCCCACTGATGATATTTCATGACAGATTGTGAACTGCTCAAAGCTCCAAAACCCCTGAGTGTGCTTGCTTTTCTGGAAATGTGGCAGTAGCTTTTTAGATGATGTTCTTATGGCTGATGAGGTGAAGGAGATGCAGTGCTTTCAGGAGTGTGATCCTTGACCCCTGTTGGTTTGCTTGCCGCAGCGTACGAGACGGCGGCGAGTGCGGGACCCTTGGGGAAACTGGTGTGATGCAAAGGATTTGGAAGGACAGACATTTGAGGTAACCCTTCTGTGTCTTAAACTTCCCTTATGGAGTTAGTTCCTGCTAATGGCTAGCAGGTGGTGTCACATCAAATGTACGAGGGGAACAGTTGTCTAATAGGTACTCAACCTCTCTTTGTGGCAGCAGTAATTTGAAAATGAGGTAGCAGCTATTACATCTGTGTGCTGCTGATCAACACAGCTGTACTTTGGTGTTGACAGAGGTGCTCACATGTATGGCCCTTCACTGATTTATCCCTAGAAAGCTCTTGTCCTGTAGGAGACTTCATGACCCCTTCTTTTCAGTTAACTGCCTGACAGTAGGGGACAGAAGTTTTAAATTATTTTTCAGGCCTTGATTTCTTTCTACTTATAATGCAGGTGATATGAGTTCCTAATACTAATGCTTTTACTAGCAATATGGCCATAAATGCTGTGGCTTATGAAGTGCTTAGAAAAATTCATACAAGTTTGAAATATTTTGTAGACTTGGAAAGATGATGTCCACTTCCACAATTTAAAATCATGCAAATAGTGAAGTACTGTAACCTTCCTATTTTTCTTATTTAGAAAACCACTTATATTTGCAATCTTCAGTAACAAATGTCTTTTAACAGTTCCTTCCATAATGTTATGATGTCATACCTATTTTTGAGTAACTGTGGTGAATGATTCTAAGACTTTCTGCAAAATACATATTTGGATGGAAACAAAGTTTGGAAACGCTCCTGTTCAAAGAGGTGTCTCACAGATTGACATGGTGGATTTTCTCCTTAGTTATCACAGTTGTGTTTATGCATGGTTGGGGTTATGGGCTGTGATTTTACTCACTTTGACTTGGGGAATGTAAGAATTCTCTCCTCAGGCATCTTGTGGACTAGATCAATGATTGTCATTATTTCCTCACTGCTTGATTCTGCTAGGGCTGTTGCTCTCTTCTCTTTAGTAGTCCTGTAACACACACAATTTAATAGCCTATCAAGAGGACACTAATGTCAAGAATTAATTCTGGGCTGGTTTTGGAATCACCACTGAAAGACCACTTAAGAGTTTAAGCCAGATTTAATTTTTTTACACTGTTTTAGCATCTGTCTGCTGAAGAATTAGCAAGAAGAAGAGAGGAAGAAAAACTGAAACCTGCAAAATCTTCTAAAGCTTCAAGACAAATAAAAAGGTATTATTTAATGTGTCATGTTCAAACGTAGACCTAGAAATGCAGTGAATGTCTTTGGGTAGTGTCTGGCTGGAACACTGCAAGTTATTAGTATATTATTACAGCCTGAGATGACATGTACACATTTCTGATGTTTTGTATTGAAATTCACCAGTGTGGGTATTAAAGTTTCTGTATTTGGTGGAAGTCATCCTAGCCTGGGATAAGAAAATCCAGTCAAGAAAACAAATCTATTCCTCCTCTGCCAAGGAGACAGTGGAAAACTTGACAAGTTTTCTGACTGTCCTACATCTTTAGAGAAATTTTCTTTCATTTTATAGTTCCTTTGATCCCTTTCAGCTGATACCGTGCTGTTTATTCACTGAAGAAAAACAGGTATGTATCTATGAGCAAAGAATCAGGAATGCTTTATTACTTATATTACTTTTCTTATACTTATTATTGCATTTATCATTTCAGGAACCTTTTCAGGTGAAGGTGTCTTCTGAAGCCCTTTTAATAATGGATCTGGTGAGGATAAAGTTTTATCTTTCAGAAAGCAATTATGTTCATGTTCTGTTACTGTTTCTATTCTTCAATCTTTTGTTGCCCATTAAAAGAATGATTTAACTTCTTGCCATTCAAAAGTGAGAATCTAGTACTATAAACCCCTAAAGATTAATAGTTTTATTAGTGTTGTGCTTGTTTTTTCTGGAAGGTAAATGGTTGTACATGAATAAGAGCATTACTGCTCACTACTCTGTCATACTGGGAATGTAATTTGCCTAAAGCTACTTTCTAAAATAGTCTGATGTTTGGAAATCTATGGGTTTCTACTAGTTGGGGAACTGATTTTGTGTTTTTAAAGCCATGCGTGGGTTTTTAATAACAGATTGTACCAAAGTTGGCACAGTTGTTCAGCACTCTAGAGCATTGCACAGGCTTCCAGTTTTGAAGCCAGCATTGCTTCACATATGAAGTGTTACACAAAGGCACTATGTCCATGGGTCTATTTAATAAGCAAACAGAATCTTTTCTCTTTGCTTTAAATTGAAACACTGTGTCTTGGGGAATTTTTAGCTGTCCTCCTAAATGTCACTGAGAAGTTACTGACCTGTTGCTGTGAAGCCAATGTATTCTGTCATGTGCAGATCAAAACAAGGAGAAATGTTACAACTTTCATAATTGTTCAATATCATTTTAGCATTCTCACGTGTCTATGGCAGAAGTCATAGGGCTGCTGGGTGGAAGATACTCTGAAGCTGATAAAATTGTACAAGTAAGTGTTTGTACTTTTCCTCTAATGTATTAAAACTTATGACAATATATATAATTTGAATAGATGTAAATGTTGATACTGAAAGGCAACTAATGAAGTATAATAAGTTGAAGTTAGTTACTGTAGTTATGCTTACATTGAAGTGTTGGCCTTTCATCTCTATCATGAGGACGATCTGGTATATGGCTTAAAATTCTTTAAATTGTATTTAATTGATGGAGATGTCCCTACAACTCCCTGAAGGGAGGTTGCAGTCAGGTGGGGGTCAGGCTGTTCTCCCAGGCAACTAGTGAGAGGATGAGAGGGCATGGCCTAAAGCTGCACCAGGGGAAGTTTAGGTTGGATACCAGGAAGCACTTCCTCATGGAGAGTGTGATCAGACATTGGAATGGACTGCACAGGGAAGTGGTGGAGTCACCATCCGTGGAGGTGTTTAAGGAAAGCCTGGATGTGGCACTTAGTGCCGTGGTCTGGCTGATGTGGTGGTGTTAGGTCGTAGGCTGCATTTGATGATCTTGGAGGTCTGTTCCAGCCCCGGTAATTCTATGATTCTTGGATTTATCCATCTAGAGATGTTGTTTTAACAGGTGTGTGCAGCAGAACCATGCAATAGTCTCAGTACAGGACTGCAGTGTGAGATGGATCCAGTGTCTCAGACACAGGCCTCAGAAGCGCTGGCTGCCCGAGGCTACAGCGTGATCGGATGGTACCATTCCCACCCTGCCTTTGACCCCAACCCCTCCATCCGAGATATTGACACTCAGGCTAAATACCAGGTACTTGCTGCTCTGTTCATTAAAAATAAATCGCAGAAAAAAACCCCCAACAACCTGCAAAGCCTCCGTTTTTTTTGTGGTTTTTTTTTTCAATGTTAATACACATTATTGCCGTAATTCATCTTAGAATAATTGTCATTCATAAATTGGCATAAAATCAATTATTTTTCATTTCAGAATACTGTGTGGAAAAAGTTGTATTTCTTGTATGTGATGGTTTTTGTGTGTTTTGGGGCTTTTTTTAGAGTTACTTCTCCAGGGGTGGTGCCATGTTCATTGGAATGATTATAAGTCCTTACAACCGAAATAATCCTCTTCCATATTCCCAGATGACTTGTCTGGTGATTAGCAATGAGATCAGTTCTGATGGTTCCTACCGTAAGTACTGATATTTTATCTGTTGTCTTAGTTTTGCTTTTCAATACTGAGAGGAAAACTGTTGTCTATTCTTGAATGTGAGAAATAGGTATTTATGTTGGTAACTCACGCTGTACAAGACCAGGAATTTCACTTTTAAGACTAATCCTGCAAGCAGTCCATGCTGTTGTGGCAAGATTATTCAGGTATAAATAGACAGATTGTTTTCCTATATTAGTATTTCCCAAAATTGAGGAAAAGAAATTAAAAGGGTTGGAACAAGGGTCCCTGTTATTTACAGAATCCTAGAATATGCTGAACTGGAAGGGACCCATCAGGATCATCAAGTCCAACTCCTGTCCCTGTGTAGGGCACCCCAAGAATCACAGCATGTGCCTGAGAGCATCATCCAAAGGCTTCTTGAACTTGGGCAGGAAACTGCTTCACAGGTGTTACTTGGACTGTGCTGTGTTGCCAGATCCTGAACAGACCCTCTGATCAGGGAGACAGCAGTAGAAGAGCAAAGAGTTGGCTGCTGTAACAGCTAAAAATCCTTATTTGAGAAACTTTGCATTCAGAAGGGCAAAGGATCAGACCTGCCAGCTGTCCAGGAAAAGACAAGATATGAAAGATGAAATGCTGTGCTGGCATGAATCTCAGCTTGGGAAAAAATTATTGATTAAAAATGTCATTGGCATTTCATGAAAACGGGGTATTTTCCTTTATTGCATAGAACATATCATATAAAATTTATACTATTTCAAATGATAACCAGATCTTCTGCTCTTTCCCCAACAATAATTAGAGGACAATTGCCATGATAACAGCCTATGGTTACAGTAGCTGCCTCTTCTCTTTCCACCTTCCTCCCCCTTTTTCTGCATCCAAACTCCGAGGTTTCCAGTTTTCTTGGCAAGGTGATAGCAGCTCTGGGAGCAACAGTTCTCTCTGTTTTTTCCTGTGGAAGTAAGGGAGGGAGACCATCTGCCTGCAGACTTGCTTCTCAGTCCTAGGGGAAGTGAAGCGGTGGCCACATCTGTGCAGTAATTCCTGTTTACCATACTGCTGGTATCTCATGTTTCTCTTATCCTCATTTCCCATTGTGGTGTGGAGCTAAAATATTTAGGAACTTTCCCTGCCCTTAGAAATTGTCATTTTTTTCATCATAGACATTTTTTTGGTCATACATATTTTGGGTCTGAGATGACTTCATATTTATGCTTATCTCCTGAAAGCAACTTTTTACAAAATGGTGTCTCCTCCAGCTCTTTGAAAAAGTTGCACTGGGGCAGTAGTGCTGCAGTAATGTGCAAATGAGCAAAGATTAGTATTTCCTGTGATCCACAAGTATTTATCTAGATTAATTCTTACTCTTGGAAATGCATTCTGCACTGAATACTTTTCACATTTGAGATGTGTTCAGATAGTAAATTGTATTTATTGCTTCCTTTTCACATACCCTGAGGTTTAGTTGGAAAGTATGGGTTTCATCTCTTGAAATTCTTGTGGTCTTGGAAAGTTGACTTTAATGACTTACTAAAATTATCAGTCTCTCTCTTTCTCCCTGAATTTTGATAACTGAGTTGTATTCTACAAGTAAATTTCTGGTGTTTCTTTACTTTCTAAATTCCTCTTCCTCCACCTGCAATAAACTAGAATAATTTCTAAGGGGGTGTAGTGATAGGATGAGGGGGAATGGTTTTAAGCTGGAGGAGGGCAGATTTAGGTTAGACATTAGGAAGAAATTCTTTTGTGTGAGGGTGGTGAGACACTGGAACAGCTTGCCTAGGGAGGCTGTGGAAGGCACATCCCTGGGAGTGTTCAAGGCCAGGTCAGATGGGGCCTTGAGCAACCTGGTCTACTGGGAGGTGTCCCTACCCATGGAAGGGGGTTGGAACTAGATCATCTTTAATGTCCCTTCCAGTGTAAACCATTCTGTGATTCTATGAGTTTCTTCCTTTAGGAAGAAAATTCCTTTGAAATCCAGGACAGTAGTGAGCCAGTTCATACACAGAAAACAAACCCTTTATTATTTGCCTGATAACCACATAGATCTTGAGTACTGCAACAGTGTAAGTGCTACTAGGTTATAAGAACTCATTTTATTTCACCATTTCTCTGGTATGAAGTAGATTCCTGTGTCCTTCCTTATGGCTTGAAGAATTGGCAAGGGCAAAAGGAAGGAGAAGGGTTTGTTCCCAACACCCACCAATATTAAGTCTGGAATCCAAAATACCTTATGCTTTTACTTTCACCTCCTTAATGCTGGCAAGGTCTGCAGCCAGTGATTGGCTGTGAACGGTTATGGGGAAGGAAGGGATTGCACCTGAAACTAAAAAGCAAAATGTTGAGTGTATTAGAAGCACTGAATAGCCACATTCCATTGATTCCAGGCCTGCCCTACAAATTTGAAGTACAGCAGATGTTGGAGGAGCCTCAGTGGGAATTAATATTTGAAAAAACAAGATGGATAATTGAAAAATACAGATGCTGCCATAGGTAAATCTCTGATTCTAACCTAAAGAATAGCCAGTTCAGCATTTGTGTGTGCTTGTTATTGATCAACAAGGACGTGTGGCGGGTTTCTACAATACTTGTTGTTTTTCTCTCAACAGCAGTGTCCCCATGAATAAGATTTTTCATAGAGATTCTAACTTGACTTGTTTGCAGAAAGTAAGTTTTCTTCTTATAATGTTTAGCTTTTTAAACTTTAAATATTTTTTTAATACAAGTCTGGTTTGTATCATTATAAGTCACCCGAAATCACATTTTTACAAATCAGAGATGAAAACCAGTCACAATAAATGACTTCTGTAGTGCAGCTTATGAACTTACAGACACACTGAAAATAATGTTCATTTCAGAGAGTTGGGGGCAATAAAATGCAGATACCAAGTTTTAACCTTAGTTTGGAGAAGCAAGAATGTCAAATTAGTAATGTCTCTTCTCAGCATGTTGCATGCTTTCAGTGTGGAGAACAGCATGTGTTGCAAGAGCAGATCTGGGCTTTCTAGTCTTCTCTTCAATCAGTGAGTGAAGTGCTGTGCCATGTTTGTCATGCAGAAGTGGGAACTTTAATTTTCCAGTCAGTGCAGTCATTGCTGTGAAGTTCTAAATAACTACAGCTGGAACATTAATTGCATAAACAAGACAGAACATCTGCCCAGAGCAAAAGACATAAACAGAAAACACACACACAGTGATTACCCACATCTAAGTTGGGTTTTTTTCTCTCTCAAGATGACTTATAAACAGCTTCGCTCTAAAATTGAGTTGGTAGAATACCCTTGAATTTAGCTGTTGTGTAATTAGTTTCAAAGAATTGGTTTTGAATCACCCATGTGTTCCTGTGTCACTGTTCCTTTCTAAAATTTATACTGTACAGTTGAACACTTTCTGTGGTCTTTATCACAAATAAATACAAATCCTTTTGGTTTACTTATCAGTTACAAGGGGGGGAAGAAAGTTCAGGCAAAAATTTAAATTTAAAAACATGTAAACATAAATTTTTTAAAAGTCTCCTTTTCTTTTGACTAGCTTTTGGAGTGCATGAGGAGGACTTTGGGCAAAGTAACAAACTGCTTCGTTGCTGAAGAATTATTGACTCAGATAGAAAATTTATTTCTTTCCACATACAAGAGTGAGGAAAAGAGGAATGCTGAAGAAAATAAGAATGACTCTTCGAATGAATTGCCAGTGTGATGGCTGCAACAAAACAAAATGATGGAATTGTTGGTTTATATCTTCATTTTCTTTCCCTTTTCCCCATTATGTCAATGTTTTCGGTATTATTATCCATTTTAATAGTAACTGTTACAGAATCTGGTGTCATCTGATTATTATGGTTTAAACATACTTTGAAAAACTCCTGATGTGTGTGACCTGACTACACGAGGAATGCTTAATACTAATATTTTGTAAAATTAATTGATTGACCAACAGTCTGCCATTTGGGAAGAAGGACAACCTGGCAAGGATACTGTGTGTCAGTCTCCAGGGAGAGTTTGTACTCCCAAGTCCTTCAGTTTAGGAATTTTCTCTTATTTTTATCTACAGGTACACATCTAACTGGAAATTAATGTGTTCCTTAATGCTTTAGAGACTATTAGTTTGAATTAATTCACAAAAGAGAAACAACTGAAATGAAAATATCATAGCTCACTGATTTTGAACTTTCCTGGTATCCAGTCTGAAGTATTACTCAGTTGTGGTTTAATACATAATCTGATTTTTAATATTTATTTTTTTCCCCCATTGATCCCTATGGTCAAGTAGCTTTTTTTGGCATGGTCCTTGCCATCTTTTTTTATCTGGGGAGGAAAAGCTGGCAAGTTTTCATGACTTCTCAGTGGTAGTTGTGCTTGTTTCCAGTGGAAATGACAACTCCTGTCTTACTACAGGTTGCAGTCTTTGTGCTCTTCTATTCTGTGAGGAGATACTGTGCTGTTCTGCCAGTTTATTCTGATTTGTCCACTTCTAAGTGCTGCTGTTTCCTGTGGAAACAAGAGCTCTAGATTGATGGCAAACATAGTGCGACAAGCAGAAAAGTTTTGTCTTTAAAAAAAAAACAACACCAACTTTTATATTCAGTCTTCTGTATAATGGGCAGTTCAGGAAGAAAACATACTGGTTTATATCAGTTCTTCAGTTAGAATTTCAGATGAGTATATTCAGATAAATTAGAAACAGATTGGTCTTGATTGAGAAGTTTCTTGATTGCAATTTGCAAGTGTTTCATGTACTATGAATCTTGTAGCAAAAATCTACTTTAATTGTTGCTTTCTAAATCCAGACTTGACTTCTATACAGTTATTACTATTTACCCAGGCAAATTTTCTCAGGTCTAAAATACATGTGAAAACATGAGTCAAGCAAGATGTGAATTCATATCTAGAGGGGTGACAATGGACTCAAGTTTTTTTTAAACGTGTATATATATATAGTTCTACTTAACATAAACAGAATTTAAGATTTTATATGTTTACATTTTTAACTTCAGTTTTTCATTTGTATAAAGAGTTTGAAAAGCTTTAAAATGGTGGAGCTGCATCCCAGGGAGGGAGCTCCTGTCCAAGAAGTTACCATTGCTTTTTTTTTTATCACATCTTATAAAATGTTTGTCTCTTTCTGTGACTCAGTGGAAGATGTAGAGCCTGTTCATGTGAAGTATGAGCTCTTGATACTCAGTTATTATCCCAGTGCAGATTCCAGAGCTGCGGACTTAAAGATAGAGGTGAATGTTTCATGCTCTTCTGTGTTCAGATCTGCTGGTGCAGCTTTAGATCCCACTGCTGTGTGTCATGTACAAACCAGGTGTATCCATATTTGGAAGGCATGTTGACTCAGTCTACAAATATTCTAAAATGTCATCCTTGGGACTTCCTAATTCAAAACACTGCATGGCTTTCTCTCTAGTTTCAGGTACCCTCCTGGTGAGAAAGCATTCCTTCCCTACTTAGCTAGGAGTGGGCTGCAGTGTCAGGTATTCTTAGTGGTTTTACATAGATTATTTTCTAGAAAAATCACAGGGTATTAATGTATGTACTGAAAGCTGTAATTAGTTCTGATTTGTAGGAGGACAATCTTGAACCTGTCATGTAGCAGCAACATGAAGTAGATAATGTTTGTTGTCCAAATACGGTTTGTTTCCAACAGTGTTGAGCCTTTGCTATGCACACAAAGACCAAAGACTCCAGCTTCCGTACAAGTTCATTAGCAGGGGGGTGTGGGAGTTCATTAGCAAGGGGGTGTGGGAGGAGATGTACCAGGGTAATCCAGTCTTACCTCACGATACTGGTTATGAATTGGAAATGCTACATTTGTGATGCTAAGTAATAATTTTGTTGGCAGAAGCCTGGGTAAGAAAATAACTAACCTACTTTTCATCATTTATTTTGATTGTATAGTTAATAAGAAGAGTTTGGAAGTTGCATGCTTCTAAGAAGATCAAGATCTGTTTTACTAATACTACCAGTTCTGCTACTGAACAGATACAAGACATTAAATATTTTTATTGGGAAGCTCTTTTTTTTTTTTTTTGTCTCCATCCAGCAATTCTTTTAACACTAGCTTTGTTTTAGTGTACCTGTTGTGGACTAATATGCAGTTTCTGTGTGTAAGACCAGCTGTTTTGTGCCTTGTCAAGTTGTACAGGAGATGGAAATGGTTGAGAGTAGCAAGTAGAATGACACAGTTAAAAGTGGGAGGGTTAACAGTTCTAAAAAAGCAAACTCCTAAACCCTACAGATACAAACTTCTGGCCAGTATCCTTTGTGAGCATTTGTTGGCTTAGTTTTGCTAATCCCGGTTATCAGCTCCACAGGGATACGTGCCCTCTGTTCCAGGGAAGGGGAATGCCCATAATTTTTTAAATTTCCCAAGAACAATTCAGGTAAGGAAAACCAACAAGTGAGCAAAAACCCCCTCAAAACCAGACAAACAAAAAAAGGTAACACATTGCCATTAATAATTAAGTACTTTTTCCTTTTTGCTGGCTGTTTTAATGTTCTTGACTGATGGTATACAAGAGTCTACCAATAAAGATGGCATATGCAGTACCTTGAAAGGTGTGTTTCATACTTTTTTAAGAACGTCTTGCCTCGAGCATCTGGATCTGGTAGCTAGTCTGTAACAATAACCAAGATTCAACCAAGTTTACCACCACCAGAGGGAGCGTTCTCACAACTGATAGAAAAAAGGTTTTGAAGTGCAAAACTCTTCTTACTAGTGCATGTGACTCCTGGCTAATGGTTAAATTTTATGGAGAGTAGCTGTGTACGTTGGTATAGATTTGTTTCTTTCATTTGTTCTCACAAACGCTCTGCCTCAGTCTCTTTCAGAAGATTATCCAATGGTAGTTTG